GTCTCGTTTATGGAACCTGGGGCTCGTGTGAGGTCAATTTCCCTTCCAGTCTTCGATTCAACCAGTGCGTCTCTCCGAGCTTTATTCTCTTCATATACCATTTCAAGGATCTGTTTGATATATTTGCTCTTCGCGACTCCGAGTCCACCACATTTCATCGCTTCGTAGATGTCTTCCACTGGAGCTTCACGGACCTTATTCCAGTCAACGCTTCCTTTCCCTATACCCTTTTTAAGAATGCCGAACTTGCGCACCAGGCCCTGGAATGCCATGGCGGAGTTATTGCCGGTGGTTGCACCGCTAAGAAGCGTCCGGATCAAAGCATCGAGGATACTAGGCACTTCTCCACAGCCTGATACGGTCAATGAAGGCGGTGGTATCGCCTTGAGCGCTATGACTTCTCCATGAACTGAGGAAAGTAGCCTGTTAATCTCCTCACACTCTGCTACTGTAGGGCGTTTCCAGCCTGGAAAAGGGCTAACCCCTGGTGTTAGGCCGTAAGGGCTTTTGGGGCCACGACTTCGACGAGGCGTGGAAGTTGCTGCTTCGTATGGGGCTGGGGAGGAACTGCTGTCTGTTGAATGTAGCTGAGGCACCGTGGGAAGAGCAAAGTCCTGTGCTGAACCCTCTACAACAGCATCAAGAATCTCAATTTTACCTAGATTATGCGGTAATTCGTCGATAGCTGGAACCGGGTTCCCTTGCTTCCTTTTCACTTTTGAGCGCTTTGCGGAAGACGCAGAAGGAGACTCAGTCATGGCTTGTCTCTTTACTTGCCTTGTTATATATCTAGGCTCCGTATATGTCGATGGGCCGTCTATTTGTCGATCATGGTGATCTTGAGGCACTGCGAGGTTATCATTCTTAGGTATCACGGGCTCCTCTGGGGGTAAGGGGGTTATCTTGCTCCCGTTGCTGGCCATATTGACGAATAGAAAGGAGCTCTTTAGGTATGCCTTGGGTAGATAGGTATAACTGAGCGAAAAGTTGGCCTGGATGTTCCGGGTGTTGATACACTTCTGCTCGCGCCTCTGTTCTCTACGCTGCTTTTTTCCAACACCGCCTTCAAATGAATGTTCAAATCAACTCTTTGTCCAAGGGAAATCTAACGATGCACTCGGGAAGCTTTGAAAGAAGTTTCAAGGATAAAGAAGCTATGCTCCACTGATGCCTGTTATTTGACCGTGTGAATCTGGTGATTGAAGCCCTCTGTAAAGTAGTAATGAAACTAGGTGACGGGAGAGTATTCATTAAGACAGAAGGAAAAGCTTGGGCGTTAATAAATAAAAATTTATTTATCTATTACCAGTCTATGATGTAAGGAAGAACCATATATCTTCTATCCCTACCACTGTTGGGCTTGGTGCCGGAACTGGCCTTCATAGACCCATGGTTCAGCCTTTGGTACAAGCTTAAAACAGAGGTACAGGCAAATCAAGTGCTCCATATAATTTTAGAGTATGATCTTTTATTATAGGAGTATACTATAGTGAATAATATACAAAATAAATATTATAAGCGCGATGTAAGTATCTTAGAGTGATAGGAGTCAGCCATAGAGGTAAATAAAGCTAAAAGCTTGTCCTAAACTGCTAGCAGGGAGAAGCAGAAAAAGAGATAAAAAGATGTAATGGTATTTTTTGCATTTGTGTTGAGCTTTGCTACCTACACTAAGCAAGTATGTACCTGCGCGTTACTGTACTTTTATTTCATCTCTCTTCATCCACATTTGCTTTTGATCAGCGAGTTAAATCGGGATCAGGGTCAGGGGTAGAAGTGGTAGTGGCAGCTGGATGTCCTGCACTGCCCTCTGAAGACTGGGGAAAGGCCAGGAAGGGTAAAAGAATGTGGCAACCTCGCGGTTGGTCTTTATGTTTATTCATGGTCATTCAAACGTTCAAATCATGGCTCTATGAGGAGAAAGGGAAAAAGGAGACAAAGAGAGAAGGGGGCATAATGGAAATAAGCTGTCAACGAGAGGTATCAGCCGAATTTGGTTTGGGGTTGTATGAGTTAGTAATCGCCGAGGTTATGAATGCTGATGTCCATTCTGTCCTTGACATGAGGTGGGACTTCGGTCGGCTTTTGGTGTTGAGATTGACTATTCGCCTGAGCTTGCGCTTGAAGGGATGAGTCGGTCGAATTAGCAACAGGAGCATCTGTTACAGGTCTGACTGTGTCAACGACAAGTGGTTTCCCGTTCGCATCTAGGTCGACTTTGCTGGAGGCGATGAGGATATTCTCGTGGCTTGCAACGCCGTTGAGGACAGCAGCTCTGGCGCTTTCGACTCTCTTGATTTTTCTACCTTCACCGCGAAGTTTCTCTAGGTGTTCGAAGTAGTTTGCTGAGACGGGCGTTGTATATACCCCGTTGAAAACACCGACTTCGAACTTAACGGGCTCTGCATTGCCGCTTTCAATGCATATTTCGGCACAGGAAGCAGTAAGGTCGTCTAAGGTCTGATAAATCACGGCATCAGCTCCGATGTAAGCTGTAATGGCGTTGATATCACGATCATGAGCCACCAGTTCGTGTGGAGAGGCTAAATCGATGCCATAGATGTGGGGATGGCTATATACAGCAGTTAGTATTTTATTGGGGACCGGCAGGTAAAGGAAACATACGCTATCTCAGGAGCACAACTGGCAAGCAAGACAGTCTTTGCCCCAGCATCTCTAGCCATCATGACGATCTCTCTGCTTGTAGTACCGCGAACGATACTGTCGTCGACCAATAGGACGTTTCGGTCCTTGAACTCCGATGCCATGGCGTTCAATTTTCGCCGAACTCCCTTTTGTCGAGCCTTCTGCTCCGGCATGATGAATGTCCGAAAAACATAACGGTTTTTTACGAAACCCTGGGAGTATGGTTTGTCCAAATACCGAGCAAGCGCAGCGGCGGAGGTGTTGGACGTTTCAGGCACAGGGATAACGACATCTATATCTTTGATAGCATCAGGACCAAGGGCGGTAATGATTCGCTTTGCTAGCTTTTCACCCATGCGTTGCCGAGCACGGTATACGCTGATTCCATCAATGACTGAGTCCGGACGAGCAAAGTAAACATACTCGAAAATGTCGGGGGTATAGTTGAGTTTGGGGTGTACTTGGCGGAAGACAGGTTCATGGCCCTTTTGGATGATGACAGCTTCACCGGGCACAATGTTACGGTGGTTGGTGAAACCAAGCTGGTCCAAAGCAACGGACTCAGAGGCCATCATGTAGTCCATTCCCGGCCCGCTGCGCGAAGGCCGAGAGCCGATGATTAGGGGGCGGATCCCGTATGCGTCACGGAAGCCGAGCACGCCGAAACCGGCGAGCATAGCCGTGCATGCCCATCCGCCTTCGCAGCGCTCGTACATCCGGCTAAGAGCTGCGAAGATATCTTCCACGTTTACACGAGCCTTTTTGGTCTCATTGAGCTCATTGGCAAAGATATTTAACATCAGCTCGCTGTCACTGTCGGTATTGATGTGACGGTGTGCTTCATAGTCCAGGTATCGCTTCAGCTCTGGAGCATTGATCAGGTTTCCATTATGCGCGAGGGTTATACCGTAGGGACTGTTTACGTAGAAGGGCTGAGCTTCGGCGTTGGCTGAGCTTCCAGCAGTTGGATATCTCAAATGGCCGAGTCTATATTGAGAAAACTGTTAGAACTGTTGAAATAATTTAATATCGCGAGAGAAGACAGACCCCATAAACCCAGGTAGATCAGCGACGCGCTGACCGTCTTGGAAGACTTTTCCACACATTCCATTGCCTAACGGTTTTTATCTTAGTACGGTACTCGACAGGCACAAGTAGACCTAGGTATTCACCTTTGCACTGGAATATACGGCCGGCAGAGGCGCAAGTAGCTATACCACAGGCATCCTGGCCGCGGTGTTGAAGGAGGTAGAGGGCTTCATGGAGGTCAACGCTCGCTGCCTCGGTGGGATTAGCGAGGATAAGGGCTAGAATGCCGCACATCTTGCTGTATCATCCATAGTGGTTAGCTGTATTGCATATAACACTATAGATATACATATGTAGAGCCATATCGATATTGGGGGGTGTCAAAGTGGTCAGATATCATTGGATTTATCCACAGATGAGATTCAGTAGTCTAACATCCTTTTTTCCATTTGAATCATCATGCAGCAAGGGAGAATATATATAGTGATATATGCAGAGAAAGCAGTCGTACCTGGCTGTATAGAGAGTCGATGCGCTTTAAGAGTCGGTTGATATGATATCTCAGATGGGCTTTTTTGTGGCAACGGGCACGCCTAGCATGGAAGACTCATTGTGGGAATAGCAGCAGACAGGACAGACAAGAGACAAGATCACTTGTAAGGCACAGTAGGAGGAGTGCCAGAGTCAAGGAGATTCACATCAACAGAGGATGCAAAACTGAAGCTGAAGTTGTTCATCTTCTTCTCCTTCTTCTAAGTAAGAGTTTTTCTTTCTCTCCCTAGGAAAAAAAAAAAAGGCGAGGTAAAAAAAAAAGATTGAGATGAAATTCTGGTAACAGCGGTACCGCCGCTTGTAAGATATTACCCAATCAAAATACGTATATTACTATGTCTTGGCTAGAGTTTGGCGAGAGGACATGTTTTGTGACAGTACGGTACGCGGTTAGTGGTGGATAAGATACGAGCATCTATATCAATTTGATAGCAAGACAGCGAAAAGCACAGCAAAGGAAGAAAAAATAACAGAAGACAGCAACAGATAAAGATAAGGAGTGTGATAGTGCACTATAAAGACAAGGAGGAAGTCTATATAGTGGCAGACCTAGCAGAAAAGATGTCTATGACTCTGTGTGGTGTCTTCTGTGGTGCTGTGTTGCTGAAGAGGACAAGCAACACACACACTAACCAGCCCCCTTAACACAGCTAAATGGTCTCTAGCAGCCATGCTAGATACACATATATACCTTCTTCTGCTTCTCCTCCAGCATCTTCTGGAAATACCATGACACTGGCAACCTTCTTCAGCACACTCAAACCATACACAAGATGGCAGTCAACATTCTTCCAGTTATCGAGCTTGATTCGGACTACGAAAGCATCAGCAGCAGCAACTCTACGATAGATGCAAACGGATATTCCTCGCCAGCGTCCTCGATATCGCCATCCCCAGGGTTTAGAGGCGATGATTTCATGTCAGATACTGATTTTGAGGCCTATGTGCATTCTCTATCAGGCAATGATGAATCGCCGAGTCCTACACCACGGAGAGCTAAGGAAAGAACTATTCCCGCCCAGCGAGTACTGCCTCCGAGAACACACCTCAGTGAGATTCGTTATCAGGGACGGACATATAGACCTGGGAAGTTTATTGAACTGCAAGATGGAACATTTATTCGAGTCAATCGGATCTTGCAGTCATCGGACAAGACTGTCGTTTCTGGGCCCAAATTCGAACGCCTAGAAAATATGGGAAGTCGGATGCCCGATAGACCTAATGAGCTTTGCTGGGTTATTGACCAGGGAGACTACAGCAGCAGCAGCAGCAGACACAGCAATGCCTCCCAGTACCGGCCCTATAGTGGAGAGGTGGAAGTTCCACTCTCTGCGATCCGCCGGTTACGGATTATCAGGTTAACGAACAAACGATACAGCCCTACACTAGATGAGAACAGAGATGACGGGTTCCTTTTTTGCCGGATGAAATATACCCGGGTATGGAAGATACGGCCATCAGTGTCTGGCCGTGGTACTGCTGATATTGTGGAAGAGAAAATCACCTTTCTCCTACCAGAGGATTGTCAGAGCTCCCTTTCGGTCTCTCGCGAGGAACTTAGAAACAACTGGCGTGGCACTGTGCTGCACAAGCGGCGATACACATTTGGAGATGGTTTCTGCGGTGCCGGCGGCGTATCGAGAGGCGCACAGCAAGCTGGTCTTAAACTTTCGTGGGCTTTTGATAAGTCAGAGTCAGCCATCAACAGCTACAGAGCAAACTTCCCTTCCTGTCTCGCAGAGCACAGCGAGGTGGCGCAGTTTCTAACCAGTTTACCCAGGGAGCTACTGGTGGATGTGATGCATGTTTCTCCCCCCTGTCAGCCCTTCTCCCCGGCAAAAACCATAGCTGCGGCGCACGACGAGGCCAATGAAGCATGTCTATTCAGCATATACCGACTGATAGAGCTGTGTAAGCCCCGCGTGGCAACGATGGAGCAAACGAGTGGCCTAAAGCAACGCCATCCTATCTGGCTGGATGCTATCATTCATTCCCTGATAGAGCTCGGTTATAGTGTGAGATGGCGACTCGTTAATTGCAAGGACTACGGCGTGCCGCAGTCAAGGTGCAGATTGATACTCATAGCTGCTGGTCCCGGAGAAGAATTACCACCTTTCCCCCAGCCTACTCATGGAGATGAGCCAGGAAAACTGCCTCTTGTTACAATTCTTGACGCTATCAGTGGTATACCCAGCACAGCACCGGACCATGACCTAGAACGAGCAGAGAGACCCTTTGAGCGACGACCTTATGACCCACGCTCGCTAGCAAGGACGCTGACCTGTTCCGGAGGAGACAATTTCCATCCATCGGGCACAAGGACATTTACCCTACGCGAGGCAGCTTCACTGCAGACTTTCCCGTTGAACCATACCTTCTGTGCCCCTGGCGTGATGAAGCAAATCGGCAATGCGGTGCCTCCTGTCCTTGCCCGAGCTGTCTTTGATGAGGTCGTCAAATCGCTTAGGAACACTGACTGTCCAGCGACCGGGCCCGCCAATACGCCCATTACCATCGACTGAAATCTGCGTCTTTTTTTTTTTTGTTCATGTAACTAGTGTTGGTTGTGTTAGTTACCCGTTTTATGCTCCGGTGTCGTTATATTGATTGTTCTTATTATAGCAGCCTTAACTAGTCCATCTAATCTCCCCATCTTATCTGATCTTATCACATCTGCATCTGCATCTCTTCATCTCTGTCAGCTGACCTCGGCTATCCTCGGCCCGACACCTCCCAACCTTCTTTTCTCGTCGCTTTCAACTGCAACTTCGCAACTTCCTCTTCCTTCCTCCTTCCTTCTTCTTTCGTCTCTCGTCTCTTCCCTTCCTCGCCCCTTCTTCTTCCAGAAAGAAGTTGTTGATTCCTTCCCATAGAGGTAAGCTGTCCTCCCGCCACCTTAAATTCCTTATCAGATCGCGGCCCGATATCAATTGAGCCCTTCTTGCCGCTGCTACGATAAACGATATCGCGAGCTGTTGGTTGTTGGGGTCTTTTGCCGGCAGCTGCTGCGTCTCGGGACTTGGAACCCTGGCTGATTATATAACTGCAGATGTCTGCCGCTGCTCCGCTCCGGCGCCTGACTTGCGCCCCACGCTCGCTTGCCCTCAGAGCCCGCCCTGCGCTTCCTCTTCCCCTTCGCTCTCTGCGTCTCCCAGCTTCGGCCTCACCACGACGCACTTCTGCTCCCTTCTCGACCATGGCTGCTCTCTCCTCCAATGCGCCAGCTGCTCCGGCGGCGCCCCGCAGCTACGACCCTGAGATCAATGACATGGCCTCTTACATCCACAAGCACGAAATCAAGTCGGATCTCGCTGTCAGTGCCCCTCCATATGCTCTACTAAACCGTATCTTTCAGCAAGGAAGACGGACCGTGCTAATAATGACAGTAGTTTGACACTGCTCGCTGGGTCTTCCTCGACACTCTTGGCTGCGGTCTCGAGGGCCTCAAGTTCGCTGAGTGCACCAAGCTGCTCGGCCCAATTGTTCCAGGCACCACGGTCCCCAATGGCACCCGTGTCCCTGGAACTCCCTACCAGCTCGACCCGGTGAACGGTGCCTTCAACATCGGCGCCATGATCCGCTGGCTCGACTACAACGACTGCTGGCTCGCTGCTGAGTGGGGTCACCCGTCTGACAACCTCGGTGGTATCCTCGCCGTCGCTGACTGGATCTCGCGAACCAACCGTGCTGGTGGTTCTCTCGCCAACGGTAAGGTGCTCAAGATCCGCGATGTCCTCGAGGCCATGATCAAGGCCCATGAGATCCAGGGTGTTCTTGCTCTCGAGAACTCCTACAACAAGGTCGGCCTCGACCATGTTGTTCTCGTCAAGGTCGCTACCACCGCCGTCGTCAGCAAGCTCATGGGCTTGACCGAGCGCCAGACCGCCGACGCCATTACCCAGGCCTGGGTTGACGGCCAGTCTCTCCGCACCTACCGTCACTCTCCAAACACCATGTCCCGCAAGTCCTGGGCTGCCGGTGACGCTTGCCAGCGTGCCGTCAACCTGGTTCTCAAGGTCCAGAAGGGCGAGCCCGGTGTCCCAACCGTCCTCTCTGCTCCAGTCTGGGGTTTCTACGACGTCCTCTTCAAGGGCAACAAGTTCGCCTTCCAGCGCGAATATGACAGCTACGTCATGGAGAATGTCCTTTTCAAGGTCTCCTACCCTGGTATGTTCTCACTCGGCTTCTAGTTCTCTACTCAATGCATATTTTTTCTGACATCTACTAGCTGAGTTCCACTCCCAGACCGCCATTGAAGCCGCTACCAAGGTCAATGCCACCCTGAAGTCCATGGGCAAGTCTGCCGAGGACATCAAGGAGGTCACCATCCGCACCCATGAAGCCTGTGTCCGCATCATCGACAAGCAGTTCAAGCCCATGGACAACTTTGCCGACCGTGACCACTGCATCCAGTACATGGTTGCCACCATGCTTACCTTCAACCGCCTGGTCGCCAGCGACTACACTGACGGTTCTGAGGCTGCCACCTCCCCCTTGGTCGAGTCCCTCCGCACTCGCATCCGCTGTGTTGAGGACCCACAGATGACCAAGGACTACCACGACCCTGCCCTCCGCACCATCCCCAACGCTCTCACCGTCACCCTCAACGATGGCACTGTCCTCGACGAAGTTGTCGTCGATGCTCCTCTGGGACACAGACTCAGACGCGAGGAGGCCAAGCCTGAGATCCTCGCTAAGTACAAGCGTCACCTCGAGGGCCACTTCGACGCCCAGCGCGTCAAGCAGCTCATCGACCTCGGACTCGAGCAGAAGACTCTCGAGGAGATGGATGTCGACAAGTATGTTGACTTGTATGTTAAGGAGTAAATTTCCCCATAGACCATAGATTGTAGTCTTTTGTTAGCGATCAAAAATACCTGAATGGAAATGACTACGTTGTACATTTTAACGATCCCCCGATCTAAATATAATACTGGCAATAATATCGGTAAAATGATAGCTATCGGTTATCACTCTGTACCGTGGGAAAGGGGAAAAAAAGGGGGGGTTTGAAGCGACCAAATAATAGCCGTCTCCCAAGCTGCCGAGGTACCGAGGCCCACTTCTTACTCGCCAAAACTCCAGAGGTTTTCTCCGCCTTTTTTGCAGTCTCCTCATCCCTGAAACCCCCTTAGGTGAATTATTAACTGAGCCAGTCCAGCAGTACACCAGCCATGGCCCGACAGGGGAGCTCGTTGGCTCGGATACAGGATGGTAGAATTTCCGAGATCCTGGGGTACTGCATAAAAAGAGGCATCTCGGGCCTGCCGGACGGGTATCTGTCCCAACGGCCACCTTGCAACTCAGGCATCCGGAGTACGGAGTAGATAGGCATTACTTCTACTGATACTTCTGAACGATGGCGCTTGCAGGTAAGTAACTAGTGGTCTGTGTGATATGGAGCGGAGTACACGCTGACTGTCCGCAGCTGCTATTGCCGGCGGGACGGCGCTGGCATATCTCAATGGGAAATACCAGCTGGCTTCTGATATATCCTCTATCATTTCAATGAAGAGAAGCGAGAGAAACGTTGCTGCAAGAGGTACCTATACTCCTGATTCATCTGATTACTGCCTGGTACCCGTGCTGACGGGTGATAGTTGCGAATGGCACCATTTGCCCGTGGTTCTTGTTTGAAGACACGGTGAAGAAGTACCCTTCTGTCCGCGCCGTCTGGACACGAGAGACATGTTACACCTTTCGTGAACTTCATGATGTCGCCTGTCAGTATGCACACTACTTCCGCTCCCAGGGTGTGCAGCGCGGCCAGCTTGTTGCTACATACCTGCAAAACTGCGCAGATTTCCCTGCCATATGGCTGGGTCTATGGTCAATTGGCGCCGCACCCGCATTCATCAATTATAACCTGGCTGGAGCAGCGTTGCTACACTGTGTTAAAGTCAGTGGCGCTAGCATATTGATTGTTGATAACGATCCCATGTGTAAATCCAGGATAGAGGAGGAACGGTCAAAAATCGAGAATGACCTTCATATCACCCCCATCATGCTTGATGAGGATTTCAAGAAGCATATCAGTTCTTTACCGAGGACTCCACTGGATGTTTCGCTGCGTCAGAACATGTCTCCCTCATTCCCGGGATGTCTCTTTTATACGAGTGGAACAACCGGTCTTCCCAAAGCCTGCGCATTCACCTTGGAGCGCATAAGCCAGCTCTTCGGCACTCGGGCATTACGTGATTCCCCCGGCGGACCAGATAGATGGTACAACTGCATGCCTCTATACCACGGGACAGGAGGGATTAACATGATTGTCTGCCTGGTAGGCGGTGTCTGCGTCGCGCTGGGCAAACGGTTCAGCGTCTCATCGTTCTGGCACGACATCATCGACTCTGAGTCCACGCATTTCGTCTACGTAGGCGAAATAGCAAGATACCTACTCGCTGCACCTCCTTCGCCGTTGGACAAAGCCCATTCCGTACGCTGTGCTTATGGCAACGGTTTGAGACCCGATGTATGGGAGAAGTTCAGAACACGCTTCAATATCTCAACCATCGCGGAATTCTTCGCTAGTACAGAGGGCATGTTCGCTTTATTCAATTTTGACCGTGGGCCGTACCAGGCTGCCTGTGTCGGCCATCATGGTCTTATACTTCGGAAACTTCTACATAATGTCTATGTACCCGTAGCCAACGACCCAGTGACCGGAGATATTCTGCGTGATCCCAAAACTGGATTCGCTACTCGCAACCCCTATGAGATCGGAGGGGAGATCTTGGTGGCTATTCCCGATGAAAAGGCTTTCCAGGGTTATTGGGACAATCCATCCGCTACGTCGAAGAAGTTTGCCCGTGATGTGTTCAAGAAGGGAGATTTATATTATCGATGCGGAGATTCCCTGCGTCGAACCAAAGACGGACACTGGCATTTCCTCGACCGTCTGGGTGATACTTTCAGATGGAAGTCTGAAAACGTCTCTACGGCCGAAGTAGCTGTAGTGCTCGGCCAGTTTCCTGGAGTCGCCGAGGCTAATGTCTACGGCGTCACTGTTCCAAACCATGAAGGACGAGCAGGCTGTGCTGCTCTCTTGATTGAACCACAGGCCCTTTCTAGCTTCAAATGGGATGCATTTCTCAGACATACTCGTGAGAGACTGCCTAAGTATGCAGTGCCAGTCTTTATAAGGCTAGTAAATTCCTCTGCACATATACATAACCACAAGCAGAACAAGGTTGGTCTACGGGAAGAGGGTGTTGATCCATCTAAGCGAGGAACAAAAACCGGGGGTGGAAAGGAGGATAAGATTCTCTGGCTTAAACCAAAGGGTGATACGTATGAAGAGTTTAAAGATCAGGAGTGGGAGAGTCTTACTGCAGGAGGTGTAAGGCTATAATCACATCTTACTAAAAGATAGGGGTTACACATATGTGCTGTAGAGGCAGCCACAGAGATAGCCATAGAAAATCTATATTTTCTTCAAGGTTCATTCATATTTACACGTTCCAGCAAGACCCTAAGGGAGTGTTTATGGTATACATTACTAAAATTGATGGAGTCTACAAAGTAGGTAGACAACCTCTACCCACAATTAAAAGTCTATATAATAGCTATTAGTAAGGCATTCAATATATCGAGTCATCATTACTTACGGTCTTCAGTGTTTCCTTCACCCATGCTCTTGTTTGAGCTGCTACCGCTGAGGATAGATCCCACAATACCGTCGACATACGGCGCTCCGCTCCATTTCTGATGTGTAAGTACATCAACACCCATCTCCTTTTCGCGTTTCTGCACCAAATTGACGTAAGATAGCATGCCATCTTCCTTGAATCCACGAGACAGCTCAGTAGCCATTGTGGCATTGTAGTGCAGACCAGCGAGGGAGATAAGTTGGAGAATGAATCTAGTAAATGCACAATTAGCTGCATGGACATCTCCAACGAACGGTACAAACATTTACTTACCCGTGCTCTGCCAAATCCCAAATAAATGATTTAAGGGTCTGCTCGGTGAATCCTTGTCCCATCCAGTTGAACGAGGGGCTCAAGTTGTACACCAACTTCTTGCCAGGGAATTGTTTGCGGATCTTGCCAGCAAAGTCGGCAGCTTTGCTAACGTTGGGGTCTCCGGTCTCAACCCACAGGAGGTCTGCATAGGGGGCAAATGCAATAGCACGCTTGGTAGCTGCCTCATTGCCAGCACGGTAATGATAGAAGCCTTCGCGGGTGCGTGGGATGTCCCAGGACCAGAAGACGGGGTTCTTTGTGTATTTGGCTGCCAACTCCCGGCGAGCAGAGATCGAAAGATCACGGTTCTGCTCAACATGCGATTTATATTCATTTCTAACTGACTCAGAGGCACCTTCAGCGATGAGGTGTTGGTCCACGGCTGGGGGATGTTAGTAATATTAAAAGTAAGCGATGTAAGGAGACAAAAATAGGGAGGCTTTACCTTCATCGAATGTAACCAGTTTATGTTTCTTAACCCACTGGGCTTCGTAAACATCGATCTCTGCGCCAGATGCGCCCTCCAACTCCATTTTCTGGAGCGTCTCGGCCAAGGGGTCACCGTCCTCCGTCACACCGAGGATAAATTCGTGATCCCGCACGTCGATAGTGCTGCTCAGCAACTTACCACTCTCTGAATCTGTTCGTGCTATAAGAAGGTTCTCGGTGCCCATAATATCCCACTGGAACCGGGCCGCAACCAATCTGTTAATATGCTCCGCAATCGGTACGAGAACCTTGCCAGCAAGATGACCACACTTCTTGCCGCCGTGCAATTGATCCTCAAAGTGTACGGCTGCGGCGCCGTTCTCGGCAAACAATTTGGCTAGTTTCATGACTGCGGTGAGGCCGCCGTGCCTAATGAGTTGTAAGTATATGTGACGTTTTTTTTTTTTTTTTCTCCTGTTTGGTAAAAAATGTTGCTTACCCAGTATCACCATCTGCAATAATAGGGCGCATGTAATCGATGTATGGGGTATTCTTGCGCTCTTCTGGCGAGAGCTTTCGCCTGGCATCCCAATGTTTCCTGTCGTGCATGTTCTGGGCCTTGAACAGGCGTTGTACCTGATTTGGCACGGTGTTGTATGGGTAGTCTCCAAAGTCCGGCGAGACTTCGTTCGTGGAGGTAAGAAGCGATGAGCATGCCCATCCTGATATATAAAGCACCTCCTGGTTTGGTGCTTGTTGGGTCATCTGTACGGGGTCAATTGCTCCCACTATAAGCAATGCCATCTATTAGCCGGAGTGCATTTATAATCAAGCCCGGGAGATATTACTGACGAGTGTGGACTGGTTTGCCCTCCGCAGCTCGTTCGTTCAGCAAGTTGAAGAGTTTCCTCGCCATCAACGAGCTGGGATATGTCTGTTGCAAAGCTCCTCGCTTGCTCACCACCGCCTCAGCGGAGTATGGCCTCTTGATACCCTCATATCTGTCGGATGCCCACCACTCGTTTACGGCCTTGATTTGCTCTTCAAACAGGGCATCTTCGGCAGCACCAGCTTTCTCAGCGGTCGATAGGAGCTGATATGAGTCTGCTGGAAGCGCCGATGAGACGGGAGGGCGTACAGCGGGTAGCTGGGGGGCCATTCGCAGGCTGGTGCTGGAGATGCAGCGGATCGTGGGGAATGCGGGTGTCGGCTTGCGGAGAGCTCGCGGCAGCTGGCGTGACACTGAGCGAAGCATCCTGTTTCTTTCACTCCTCTTCTCGTTATCTTATGATCTCCTTCTCCTTCTTCCTTAGTTGCGTCCTTATCGTCGTCGTATTTTCTCCTCGTCTGCTGGTTTCCATTGATCTCTTCCAAGGTTCGTTCGTGTTGATGTCTTCGGCGCTTGAGGCCGACGTGAAAATCCGGCCGAGGCATCTCACAAAGTTTACCGCGGAAAACCGAGCCGTGCGCGAGCTTAAATTCACCTGTCAAGAACAACTCCCGCCTTTCTCTCGCCGCAACATAAATCGACCGCCGCAGACGCAGGATCAACACATCTGAACAATTGCACGATCGAGAGATACAATGGCCTTCACTGCGAGAGCTACGAGACAGGCGCTTCGCGCTGCCCAGGTAGGTTGCTGCGGCTGCTCGGGGAGAAGGAAATGCGGCTGTTTGCTAATTGCCAGCAGAAGTCCTCCCGCCAACTAGGCACCCGGTCCTATGCCACCGCTGAACCAGACCTGAAGACCGTCTTCAAGGATGCCATTCCAGCCAAGCGAGAGCTTCTCAAGCAGGTCAAGGCCCGTGCCGACGAGAACATCGGCCAGGTCACCATTGGCAACACCATTGGTGGTATGAGAGGCCTCAAGGCCATGGTCTGGGAGGGTTCTGTTCTTGACGCCAACGAGGGTATCCGCTTCCATGGCAAGACCATCAAGGACTGCCAAAAGGAGCTCCCCAAGGGCACCACTGGCACTGAGATGCTGCCTGAGGCCATGTTCTGGCTCCTCTTGACCGGCCAGGTCCCCTCTACCGCCCAGGTCCGCGCCTTTTCTCGCGAGCTCGCTGAGAAGTCGGACCTCCCAAAGCACATCCTTGACCTCGTCAAGTCCTTCCCCAAGGATATGCATCCAATGACCCAACTGTCTGTCGCTGTTGCTGCCTTGAACACTGAGTCCAAGTTTGCCAAGGCTTATGCCGACGGCATTAGCAAGGCCGACTACTGGGAGCCAACCTTCGACGACAGCATTGCTCTCCTCGCCAAGATTCCACGTATCGCTGCTTTGGTCTTCCGCCCCAATGAGATTGATGCCGTTGGTGCTCAGAAGCTCGATGCCGGCATGGACTGGGCATACAACTTCGCTGACCTGCTTGGCAAGGGCGGCAAGGAGCACGAGAGCTTCCACGACGTCCTCCGTCTCTACCTCGCTCTTCACGGCGACCACGAGGGAGGAAACGTCTCTGCCCACGCCACTCACCTTGTTGGTTCTGCTCTCAGCGATCCATTCCTCAGCTACAGCGCTGGTCTTCTCGGACTTGCTGGCCCCCTTCATGGACTTGCTGCCCAGGAGGTGCTCCGATGGATCTTGAACATGAAGGCTAAGATCGGTGACAACTTCACCGACCAGGACGTCAAGGACTACCTTTGGTCCACCCTCAAGTCTGGCCAGGTAGTCCCTGGATATGGCCACGGTGTGCTCCGAAAGCCTGATCCTCGTTTCGAGGCTCTTATGGACTTTGCCAGCACCCGCCCAGATATCATGGAGAACCCTGTCTTCAGACTGGTCAAGAAGAACTCCGAGATTGCTCCAGGTGTCCTCACTGAGCACGGCAAGGTAGGCATAATATATTGATACCAGGCATTTTTTAACAGAAGTACTAATAATGTTGTAGACCAAGAACCCTCACCCTAACGTTGACGCCGCTTCCGGAGTCCTCTTCCACCACTACGGTTTCCAGCAGCCGCTCTACTACACCGTCACCTTCGGTGTCAGCCGTGCTCTTGGCCCACTCGCCCAGCTTATCTGGAGCCGTGCCCTTGGTCTCCCTATCGAGCGACCAAAGAGTATCAACCTCCAGGGTCTCTTGGATTCCACTAACAAGAAATAGACGTTCATTCAGCTTTATACCACCAACAAACACCAACTAAAACATACAGAAATGGTGCCATTCTGGAGAAGGCACTAATAGTTTAACGACCAATAGATAGATGTATAGTGATTTACTTTTTTGCCAGAGAACATTGTATAACTAAATGGCTAGGAAACGTTGCTCTCTACCTGCGTGTTGATTGATTGCTACCTCTCGGGTTATATGATATTATCTCTGTAGAATATCAAGTCATATTTCATCTCAAACACTCGTTCCATCACCTACGTAAACCGGAGTCCGTCTCTCTTGATGCCTGCTCCAAGGCTAGGTGGAACGTCATTCTGTCCAGTTCCCCAAGAGCTCTCTTCCTTTCCGAGAGTAAGCTCAAGTGTTCCTCCGTTTAGGAAGAATTCGTGTCCAATCCAATTCCGAGTGTACTCCTTTCCATTTAACGTTGCTCGTTGAATGTATACATTTTCATACTTGCTGTCAAAATTGACATTTCGTACCGTTGCAATCTTCCCTGTTACTGGGTTTTTGATGCTGACGGCTTCAAAAAAAGGAGGCATGATAAAATATACATTTTGTCCTGGATTGGGGAACAAACCCATCATTGCAAAGACAGTGAAACTGCCCATCGCCCCGGAATCGTCGTTTCCAGGTACCCCAGTGGTCGTGTCATTGAACCGAGAAGGGATGTAGGTATGTGCGCGTTTGGCGGATAGGGCAGGGCGGCCAGCATAGTGGTATAAGAATGTAGCTAGGAAGGACGGTTCGTTACCGATATATAGTATGTTTGAATCGTGGAGATAGTCTAGACGAGCAACAAACTTGGAGCGGCCACCAAGAAGGTTGATTAATGTAGACATGTCGTGAGGAACGAAACTAGATAAATAGTCAGTTAAAATTCAATTGAACCCAAGGTTGAGGGACGAACAATTGATTCTCCCATATGCCTGACTCGTAAGTCTCCTGTGAGTTCGAGGTGAGGGAACAAAAGGCGGCAATATTACTGCAGAGTATTGGGTCTTGATAACCCCATGTGCCATTGTAGTATCTCGGCTGAAAGAATCCAACGAACCCTGTATCCTTCCCATCTATAAATGAGGTCTGGTCTGCCTTGAATAAGTTTTGCCAATTCCCAGATCTCTGGAAATATTTCTCGTGTTCTTTACCTAACCCCTTCCCTAACACTCCAACACAGTAATCATTATATGAATATTCGACTGTTCGTGAGATGCTGCGTGTTGTGATTCCGGTTCCTAGATAGTCATAGTCTTGGGCGGGAATATAACCAACGGACTTCCAGCTCATGAGTCCTCCTCTCCCTTCAACAGACCAATCCGATGGTTCAACTTCAGCATCTTTGACAACAGCCTCGTATGCAAGGTCCCAGTCGATGTTGTCACTGATGCTTTTCACATACGCATCAGCTATCACAACATCAGCATTGGATCCACTCTGGGTAAAGCCTTTGCATAAACTCATGCGACAGTCTGGTAGCCACCCTTGGTGCTTGTAAGTATCAAGAAGGCTGCGTATCATCTTCGCCAGAGTGGTGGGGTCAATGATAGCGAGTAAAGGGATTTGTGAGCGAAACGAATCCCAAAGGCTAAGTGCTGTTAGAGATAGGCTCATTCGTAAAACTGCATCGTACTCCCAACGTACCAATAGAAGGAATCAAAGTATGGCTCTTTGCTTTGCCAGAGTGGGTTCTCCCCAGTGTAATCCTGAGGTGAGATCATAGAACGATATATCGCACTCCAAAACGTCCGTTGAAAGATATCGCTGACGCCTCCAGATTTCAACGAAATAAGGCCAAGCTTTTCTTTCCATGCGCTCTCAGCATCTGTGCGGACTTTTTCAAAGTCCCAATTGGACCCCGGAATTTCCTTCTCGGCGTTCTTACAGGCTTGGTCCTCGTTAATGAAGCTTAGGCCCACGCGGGCACTAACTCGAGTTGGTCCGTTACTCGATGCTCGAAATTGGAGATACGTTCCAGCTTGGATATAGAACAAATTAAATCCTCGCCCCACAGATATAGCTTTGGGCAGTGTTCCTGCCCGGTTGCTGATGTATATTCCGGTATCTTTTGCTTCTGCTCCAGAAAAGTCAACGCACACAAAAGAATTGTAGGTTCCAATTCCAAAGCTAGGCAGGAAAGTCCCATTTGCTTTGACTCGAAGGGTATCCTCGTCTAGCGAAATGGCCGCATTCTGTCTTGAGTCTTGTATGTCGGTCAGGTCTACAAGGATCACTGGTAACGTTCCATTTGATTCGGCATTATTATGGGGAAAATCAAAGTGGTATAGGGCAGCATGTTCTGTAACTGTCATTTCTGCAGCGATACCATTATTAAGTTTGATAGCAAAATATCCAGGCCTCGCTTTCACACTATCGGCAATATAATGGACCGCTCTATCCTCCTTCGAGAACTTGCATTTGTTTATATCATCATCTTGACATATTTGCGGTACGAGAGGAAAGTTCCCCATTGATGGTTTGCCGCCAGTTCCAGAGTCGTGCATATGCGAGAAACCAGTGACGTTGCTTCCTTCTGTAGTAAACCCACCATAGTTTTCGCTGCCGTCAACATCAGCCACGGCCTTAGCCATGCCGTATGGCAGACTAGCTCCAGGGAAGGCATGTCCACCATTTGCTGTACCAACTAGTTGGTCGACATAGCGAAGGACATCACCTTCGTATTGTGCAGTGACGCGACAAACAAGGACGCCAAGTGTAAGTAGTGAAGGGTATCGTAACCAGGCAGCGGACACCATCCTTCCTTCTCAAGGCTATGCCAGTGTTGGGAAATGCGTTGATGTTCTTTTGTAGTCCAAGAACAGAAAAACATCGTGCAAGCTCAGTTATGCGGAGAGAATTCCCGAGCATCTAAGCTACAGTTATGCGGTGTAAGCTTTCTGTCCAGAAACCTGCTACTAGCTACACCATGAATGCTTCGCAGCACGAAGTCGCCTGATCGAGCATGAGCAGGGATTGCCTGTGAGGACCTGTGGCACAGCATCGTGTTTCATTGGTGGCATCTCCCAGTTCGGCCATGAGATCGTCCACACTAATTGATAGCCCCTCATTGATTGCACACCAGCAATAAGCCAGGTTTTCACCTGGCAAACGACAGATGTAACTAGTTAGTACTCCGTAGTTGTTCAACTTTTGAAGAGGCTATTACCGAACTTTCATCTCGTCTGAGGCCGGACTGCGCTCTGTCTTGGCCCCTGTGCAATAATAATAGGAGCTTCGGTATAGCGGCAGGGAAGCCCGGTCAGAAAACGTGCAGCCTTGCGTGGATCCGAATCGCTCGGTCTTCTCAACTAGTTAACTACTTAGTTTGCCAGGATTCTTTTAGCCCTGCCTATCAATCATTTGATAAGAACGCAACCAGCACGACGCCTATCGTCCGAAACAATCGCCATTTTCGGGCCTAACGTAGAGAAATTCTGCATAATTTAGTGTGTATTCTGTAAGTAATATTCTGTCCAGTCCATCAACAGCGAATGTTCGTGACAAGTAGACGCGAGTTAGTTCCGTTTGTTGTTGGCGTCGACGTCGACGTCGAAGTCGATGTTGATAGAAGGAAAAGATTGCCCAATTAGGAGCGCCGTGCTAATCGATAAGGAAAATTTCACATGCTGACTAACCACGCCTTCGCCCCTCGATTGGAAATCCCGAAAAGGAAAACATCGAAATATTTTTTTTTTCGTCTTCATCAACTTCAGTGTTTTCAAAAGGCCGGCGGCCGTTGTTTTTGGCCTCTTTTTTTTGTTTATTCCCTTGTTGGTTCTGTTTCTCTGCGTTGTATTTACTTGAATGTGATATTCCTAAACCCGTTCGTGCGCCAACACCCTTCCCTTCCCATCCCTTCGACAGGTCGGGCTTCAATATTAAAATGCCCCTCCTCGAAACCGCACCTATGCAATCAGAAAGAATCGTCCCTGTAGCATCGAAAGCTGCGGATGGTGCTATCGGAGACGATGTTGCACACCTCTTGAAGACCGTATTCGAAGCCCAAACCTCGCAGCAGGCACTAGATGCTTCCTACGGCCTTACCAACCTACTTATCAGCACTGGGAGCGTTCGATGCCTCCAAACATTCAATGTTGTCCCTGAAATAAAGAAAGCGGCGACAGATAAGAAAAATGGTGCTAGGAGGGAGAGCTCTATGCTAATTCTTGGAGCTTTGTTTGAACAATACCCTTTGAAGAACCCGTTGAGCGAGGTTGTCTTCCTGCTGGAGAATGGCGGATTGCTTTACCTTGCCTTGGATCTCCTCGCAGATAAAGATGCAGTGGTTCGGGAAGCAGCCCAATATGCTATTGATGCTTTATTTGCGTGTCTGAAGGAGGAATCATTAGTTCACGCTCTTGTTGAGCCCCTTGCTCAATACCTCAGTAAGCCCACTGGAAAATGGCAGGGAACAGTCGGTGCATACAAGTTGCTGGAAAAAGTAGCAAAAAGAGCTGAGATTGGCACGGAGAGCAAGGAGAAGGAGGAGCTTAAGGATCTTCTACGACTTAATCTAGGCCAAAAACTGAAGGACCTGATCCCTATTGTTGAGGGTGGGATGCATGACTTGAAAGCAGAAGTTGCTAAACAAGCTGTCAAGACTATGACTGCCCTGTCGACTTTCCTTGACAATGATGACGTTGCCCCGCGAATTCCACTACTTCTCAAAACCATGGAGAAGCCCTCGACCGAAACACTTCAGAAAGCCATCCATGCGCTCTCTCAAACAACCTTTGTTGCTATTGTGACATCCCCAGTTCTTGCATTACTTACTCCCCTCCTTGAACGATCTCTCAATACCCCAACTACCACTCAAGAAGTCCTCCGTCAAACTGTCGTGGTTGTTGAGAATCTTACCCGACTTGTGCACGATCCCGTCGAAGCAAGGACCTTCTTGCCCAAGTTGAAGCCTGGTGTTCAGCGTGTCAAGGATGGTGCCTCTCTCCCTGAAGTTCGAGAATTAGCTACTAGAGCTATGAACGTTATAAACAAGGCCATGGGTGATGATGAAGCTGGCACTATTGATTCACGTGCAACGACAGAGCAAGTAGAGGCCGTTCTTGAGGAGCATATGAAACCATACATGAAATTCAACCATACCGATGAGAAGCGTTTCTGGGAAACCAGCAGAAACTATATTGCCAACATGGTCCGAGATGATGCCAATTCACGATTGCTTGAACGTATCCAATTGTGTGTGGGCCCATACCTCCAATCCTTCGTTCCTGACGGAAAACATGATGAGATTGCTGCAGCTGTGAAGGCTCATTTCGTTGAAGAAGATGAGCGCAGATTTGGAGTCCCAGTAAAGGAAGATGACGGGGAGATCGAAATTGTCAATGCCAACTTCTCCCTTGGTTACGGAGGCCGACTTCTTCTCTCGCATGCAAATTTGAGACTACTCAAGGGCCATAGGTACGGTCTTTGCGGCCGTAATGGCGTTGGAAAATCTACTCTCATGCGCAGTATCGCCAACGGCAAGCTCGAAGGCTTCCCACCTCAGGACGTCTTGAAAACGTGTTTTGTTGAACATAATCAAGGCGAGGATGCCGAGTTGAGCGTCTTGGAGTTTGTCACAAAGGATCCAGAGATGGCTGCTGCCGGTGAAGAGAAGATCTCCGCTGCCCTTAACGAAGTTGGGTTCACCCCTGGCCCAGAAGGGAGGCAGCAACAACCTGTTGGCTCTCTATCTGGTGGTTGGAAGATGAAACTGGCACTTGCCAGAGCCATGGTTATGGGTGCTGACGTGCTCCTCCTTGACGAACCTACTAACCATTTGGACGTCCACAATGTTAAATGGTTGCAGGAATACCTGAAGAAACATACAGAAGTTACCAGCTTGATTGTCAGTCACGACTCCGGTTTCTTAGATGAGGTCTGCACGGACATCTACCATTATGAGCAGAAGAAACTTGTTCACTACAAGGGAAATCTCGCAGAGTAAGTCGCCTCTGAACCATAAAATACCCCACCCCGTATACTAATGAATGATTATAGCTTCGTCAAGGTCAAACCGGAAGCAAAGAGTTACTACACCCTATCCTCTGCCAACGCACACTTCAAGTTCCCACCTCCTGGTATCTTGTCTGGCGTCAAATCCGCAACTCGCATTATCCTGCGCATGACTAATTGCTCCTACACTTACCCGGGTAGCAGCAAACCATCATTGGTCGATGCAAGCTGTGCTCTTACTCTATCCTCTCGGGTTGCTATCATTGGTGGTAACGGAGCAGGAAAGTCTACTTTGATGAAGCTGCTTACGGGTGAAACAATTCCACAGACCGGAAAAGTTGAGAAGCACCCCAATCTTCGAATTGGTTACATCAAACAGCACGCGTTGGAACACGTGGAAATGCATATGGAGAAGACTCCCAATCAATACCTCCAATGGAGATATGCCAATGGAGATGACCGTGAAGTCCTTCTGAAACAAACCCGTATACTCACCGAGGAGGACAAGATCCAGATGGCCAAGCCTGTTGACATCGGTGACGGAAAGGGCCCACGCAACATCGAAGCTTTGATGGGAAGGCAAAAGTACAAGAAGACCTTCCAATATGAAGTGTAAGCACGCCCACTAGCCGTTCACGACATCTTGAGATCTGGTTAATGCTAATAAACACTAGTAAATGGAAGAACATGCTCCCCAAGCACAACACTCAGATATCGCGTGAAACTCTTCTGGAACTTGGATTCCAGAAGCTCGTCCAAGAATTTGACGATCATGAAGCCTCTCGCGAAGGTCTTGGATACCGGGTTCTCGAGCCTAAGGTTATCTCTAAGCACTTCGAAGACATCGGCCTGGACCCTGAGATTGCCAACCACAACGAAATTGGCGGTCTCTCTGGCGGACAGAAAGTCAAGGTCGTCCTGGCCGGAGCCATGTGGAACAACCCTCATTTGCTTGTCCTAGATGAGCCTACTAACTTCTTAGACCGTGACTTCTTGGGTGGCCTAGCTGTTGCTATCCGTGAGTTCAAGGGTGGCGTCGTCATGATTTCTCACAACGATGAATTCGTTGGTGCCCTCTGCCCTGAAAGATGGTACGTTGAAAACGGCCGGATGACTCATGCTGGCACCACTGCTGTTGCTCTTGATCGCTTCGAAGACCAGTCTCGCAATCCCAGCACTGTGGCCAGCAGTGTAGTATCTAGTGCAGCACCTTCAGCCGTGAACTCTGGCGCCGAAGACGGAGGCGAGCTTAAGTTCAAGGCTAAGAAGAAGAAGAAAATGACCAGAGCTCAACTCAAGGAGCGTGAAGTGCGCCGCAGGCTAAGACACATCGAGTGGCTTAACAGCCCTGCCGGCACTCCTCACCCGCCCGATACTGATGACGAGCAGTAGCTTGCCATCGTTCGACGATTCTTTCGTTTATATATCTTTGATCAAAAGTACCTAATGGCTGTTATGTTAAGAGTTCGGATATCTCACGAGTTTATGTCTTGTTTTTTGCCGCCCGTTGTTTGGTATCGTTCTCCGGTATACGCGACCGGGTATCTATTTTTTTTCTTTTTCTTTTTTTTATAGACAGAGACGGGCACTAACTAGATAGAATCCGGGCCATTGGCGTTCTGGGTTTATATTTTTTTGATAGAGGTCTAAAATTGGATTGAAGTTTTCTTTTTGGATGGAAGAATGTCTAAATAGTTTTCTGCGCCTAGTCCATCTGGGCATACGCCTCAAGCGCCTGGTGAAGTTGTCCAAAGATCCCGTCGTGCCAGCTCTTCAAAGCCTCCCATTCTTCCCTGGGGAGGGTGACTTGGCTCATTCTCAGCCATCCTCCGACGATGAAATCCGCATAGGACGGTATGTTGCCCAACAGGAACGGCCCAGTTATGCCTTTCTTGTACAGCTCCGCTAGTCCAGAGAGGGCCTGCTCATACGACTTGAGCATTTCGCCTCTCTGCTCCCCCTTAACCGACAAGTCCTCCCATGGGATTCCTGCTCTCCGGGAGAATTCAGCCTTTGACTGCTCGGCCGTCGCTGGATCAAAAGGTAGTCCGTGTACCATGAGCGGCACATGTGCGGTAAACGCAGCGTCGACACTGGTGTTGAATTTAACGTATGCTTCTATGGCCTTTTCCACCCTCGACTCCGCGATGGGCGCGAACAGCACTGGGCCTTCTCCATAGGTGAAAGACAGATCTTGCTCTGGGAACAGGTCTCCTCCAGACGAGGGGTGCTGGCGCTGAAGATACACGGCGATCTCAAAGGAATCTCCTATAACTTTGCCTGTAGCTGGGTCAAATAGCATAGGGAGAGTGTGATATGGAGACCCATCGGCGAAGGTACGTGACGCTGGGATGTTAAGTGAGGTCCTGACAGTGCTTATATCAGGCAGAGGAATCCAATTCGTCTTATAAGGAATTTTCTTGAAGTTGAGAGCGTATCTGGACTTCCAAGGGTTGGGAGAGGCTGCGTTTTCTATTACTGGCGATGCGAGGGCGATATCATAAAATGTTATGACCGACTCAGGTGCGGATAAAACCATGGCGGAGGCAGTTGGAGAGTAACTATCGTATACTGTTTAGTTACTCTGGGGTATTCAACATTGCTGCGACTCCAGACCCCCTGTGCTGTCTTACGGAGTACCTTTTATATGGCACATCCCTACGGAGTACGAGGGATAGTTATGCGTGAGCGAGAAAGACTCTTGAAGACTCATCGTACATAACCAGCAAACTACGCCTTGGCTTGATGACAACCAAGACAGACCATTTACGGCTTTTGCTCGACATCAAAAGTATCCAGTTAGTTACATGCTGGGCATCAGTGTCGCTAGCAACAGCATCACGAACCTCGACTCCAGCTCTACTTCGCCAACACCATCAGCATCGCTCATCTCCGAACCCTCGCTCGGCGGATGCAACACTGGCGGAACATGACATCATGGCGCTTCTCCCTTAAAACTCTGGTGGCCACCTCACGGCTTCATAACTCACACTTGCCCAGGGATAACCAGCCGGTGTTTTTCCGCAAATTCTGATCCTTCAAGAAGCTGCACTGCAGCATCATCTCTCGAGTCTGCATTAAATCCTCAAGACGAGAGGACGAGGCCGCATAGTTAACTAAAAATTTGAGAAAAGACATCAAATAACGAGTTACTCCAAGCTTGTGAAAGTTGCTCGTATCAACTAAAAATATTCGAGCCGGCAAGAAACCGTGAAAATTCTCTGGACTACTCCACACCAGAGTGGACAAAATCTTTTTTTTCTTCGGTTGGGAAAAGGAAATTACTTATATCAACGTCTTCACCTCCTCCCTGGACGAAGAGAGGCTATCAGTGCATGCATCGCCCACCCCAGATGCGTAGCACCGTGTACCACCCATAAGCGACAACCCATATCATCATCAAGGAGCTGTAGATGGACTAGAGCTGTCTCTATACTCCGTACAGTGATTTCGACCCGCTGCCCGTGAAATCCCATTGAAATCCCATATGCGACAAACAATCTCGAGACCGACTTCCTCTTTAAGCCATCGAGAGCTTGCCCTACCAGCCTTTGTTACTTCGCCCGTCAACTATCGCCAGTAACTACTAGAACTACTAGCTAGCTCTTGGGATAACTAAATCTTCGTTGATCAAGATGGACCACGAGAGCATCGGCCCCAAGGCGGAGAGGTATCCGTCCCCTCCATCCTCGGGGGATGAAAAGGGATCGATCGATAGCGATGCAGCCAAGCTGGCGGCCATGGGGTACACCCAGGACATGACCCGCAAGTTCTCGGTGCTTTCCTTGCTTGCCGTTGGCTTCTCCCTTACCAACTCGTGGTTTGGTATCTCTGCCTCACTGGTTACGGGTATCAACTCAGGGGGTGCGGTGCTGACCATCTATGGCATACCATGGATCGCATTCATCTCGACCTGTGTTGCCATCACCCTCTCTGAGCTCGCTAGTGCTATGCCCAATGCTGGAGGACAGTACTTCTGGGCAAATGAGCTGGCTCCCAAGAAGTATGCTAATTTTGCATCGTACCTGACCGGCTGGTTTGCCTGGGCCGGGAGCATCTTCACATCTGCCAGTGTTGCTCTGGGACTCGGTGCGGCCGCGGTTGGTATGTGGCAGATGGGCCATCCTGACTTGTAAGAAACTCTGGTGTACTTCACCTAATAGTGTATAATTAGAGAGGCTGACTACCATACTAATAGCGTCCCTCAGCCATGGCATACTGTCGTTGCCTACCAGGTGATAAACGGGTTTGCATTTCTGTTCAACTGCGTCGGAAGACTCCTCCCCAAGATCGCCACTGTTACGCTCTATACCTCCTTGATCTCCTTTATCACGATCCTCATTACTGTTCCCGCCAAAGCGCCCACACACCAGTCAGCCAAGTTCGTCTTTGCGACATTCATTAATTCCACAGGTTGGAAGCAGGATGGTATTGCGTATCTGGTTGGTCTAATCAATACCAACTGGGTGTTTGCGTGTCTTGATGCCGCAACGCATATGGCCGAAGAAGTCGCTGCCCCTGAACGATCTATCCCCATCGCTATAATGGGAACAGTCGCAATCGGCTTTGTCACTGCATGGTTCTATGTGATTTCTATGTTCTTTAGTCTGAACGACTTCAACACCGTGGTCAAATCCCCGACTGGCGTGCCCATCCTCGAACTCTACTTCCAGGCCCTCGGCAGTAAAGCCGGCGCCATTGTCCTCGAATCTCTCGTCCTGGCCACTGGAATTGGTTGCCAGATCGCTTCTCATACATGGCAGTCTCGCTTATGTTGGTCCTTTGCCCGCGATCGCGGCCTCCCTTTCCATACCACCCTGGGCCTGAATAAGATCAACCCCAAACTTGATGTACCCCTAGCGGCTCATGCATTCAGTTGCACCATTGTTGGCCTTTTGGGGCTCTTGTTCCTTGGTTCCTCAACTGCATTCAACAGCATGGTCACCGCATGCATCGTGCTGTTGTACGTGTCATACGTCATCCCGGTTGTCTGTCTTCTTATCAAGGGACGGAACAATATTCAGCATGGGCCCTTCTGGCTAGGCAATTTTGGTCTTGCTGCCAATATCATCCTGCTCTGTTGGACTCTATTTACTCTCATTATGTATTCGTTCCCTTCAGTCTATCCTGTCACTGCCGGAAGTAAGTCTACTCTTTACCCCTGTCTAACCCCTTTCGATGAGCCACAATCATTTCACTAACAATCTACCAAAAGCTATGAACTACGTATCTGTCGTCTACTTTGTTGTCATTATGATCATCGTTGCCGACTGGTTCCTTCGAGGAAAGCGAGAGTACCGTGGACAAACCGCCCGCCACGAAGATGCAGAAGTCCTCCATCGACGCAGCAGTGTTGTACATAAGTAGCTATTTTAACGGTTTTTTAGAGTACATATGCATAGCTTTTCCTTTATCTTCAACGTTTGCACATAAAGATATGGCTAGTTACGCTTTGAAGTTTCATAAAAGCACTTGATATAACTGAAGCATAGAAGAATAAAATTTTAGCGAATGATACAGAAGTAGACTCACCTATAGCTTGCCCCTAGCAAGCCAGCTGATCTGTAGTTGCAGTGTCTTGTCTCCGCCGGCTCCCCCGGCGTATTTGTTTTCCTGTACTTGGACTTGTGAACTATATCGCTGTCATTGGTTTTGACCCAAGCGAAGCCATCGCTGCCTCCTCACATGTCAACCATGCCTGCCTGACCAAGAAAAGTGATCAAAACAAACATACATAAATAGATAGAACCTTTTCTCTTGCTGTGAGTCAACCAACATTCATCAACATCTTCCAACTCCAGGTTACCGGGCTCAATATCCATCAAGAAAAAGGCGTTTCTCTGGTCTTATCCATCAGTTAGTAGCTGGACAGCCTCGTTGCAGTCTACTCCAAGAATATTCACCATGGCTGTCCATCCTGCTTATTCCTGCATCAGCGGCGCTGCGCGGGCAATATTGCAGGATTTATGTGGCCAGGAAACTCCAGAGTCAGGATTCGCTATCTCCCCTGCATCCATAGGCATCGCAATGGCCATGTTAATAGGTGCTGCCACCCCGTCGGACGCAGAGAGGATGTGCACCTCGCTGGGCGTGGCGACGCCAGAGCAATTCGACGTTGTCCACCGCCTCCTAAAGCACTGCAAAGACACCACTGCAGTAGCAAATGCAATATTTGCTGACAAAGGAACAGTACTAGACGATGAGTACGCTCGCTTCTTGGAAGGGTTTGAGGTTTGCGCAAATATGGAATTCCCACGCCTGCTTGACGGGCTGACCACCATAAACGGCTGGATATCAAACAACACCATGGGCATGATCAACAATATGATTTGCAATGACAACCTTGCTCACTCTCACCTTGTACTCATCAACGCATTAGCATTCAAGGGCACCTGGAAAGAAAAGTTTGATCCGAAAAATACCGCCACAGACTATCCATTCAAGGTCACGGATTCAGATATTCGCCGTGTTGACATGATGTTTCGTTTCGGAGAAGAAATATTCGTATGTGATACACCAAAGTACAATGCAGTGAAGCTACCATATGAAGCTGAGAGCTTTTCTGCATCAACTTCATTCAAGGCTTATCTACCGCGAGACGGCGTATCAGTGCAAGAGGTTTTGTCCAGTCTGTCTTCTGAGCAGGCTCCATTCCGCCAGAAAAAAGTCAGTAGGCTCGGGTTTCCAAAGGTTGATATGTCCTACGGTACGAATCTTTTGGAAGTTTTCCAGCGCATAGGGACCTATCTTCCCTCTACTTTTCCCAAGATGGGAGCCGGAGAAAATGTTCTCAGTGCTATCCTCCATAACTCGGCTATTACGATTGATGAACAGGGTACCAGGGCCGCTGCTGCCACTGCTGTAATGATGGCCAGGAGTGTGGCGGAGCCATCGACCGTCCTTGTTTTTAATAAGCCGTTTGTTTTCTCTATCGAGTCAGAAACAACACAGTGTCTCTTGTTCATGGGCGTGTTCTTCCCCAAACGTTGATGTCTTGTTCAATGAACATGTCCTTTTATCAAATACCCATTTTATATCACCCCGGGAGCCTATCATTGAGAACCATCATATAATGAGGTCCTCCCTCCTGATTTCTTGTACAAGAAATGTACAAATTTAGTGAATAGGGCATTAGACCGACACCTCTGTCAGTATTCTGATGTTATATATCGATTAGCAAGTATACACCCCGTACAATGCTTTGAGATAGAAAGAATCTCCTATAGTATATCTCAAAGTTCTGCACCGTACACTAAGACGGCAAAGTTCTGGGGTGTATGGTTCCTTGACGAGGCTTCTTATATGGTATAAGTCCAGAGCTTCCAAGATTCTGTTCAGTGTATATGGGATATTCGGGGACATTTGACTCCACGTTTTTATACTGAATATATATCGTTTAAACCGGATAGCTACTGGACAGACGTACAGAGTACTCTACCAGCAAATATAATTATCGAGAATGTCAAAATAAAGGGGTTAAAATGAAGGGAATACGGCTCTAGGGTAAAAGGGGGAAGCGCCACGCCTTTCTATTGGCTGAGAGACTCGATAAAAGTTAACCAATAAAACACTTTATGACCTTATATATGACCTTATCAGTATGATATAATAAAATTTTGCATTACCATTGGCCATGATACTAAAGTCAGCGATTACATAATAGCATCCTCGTTTGAGGCTGAATAGAAGGAAAGAAACGCCACTCGAACGCTCAGATTTCTCCATACAATTTACTCTCGACCGCTCATGCATTTGCTTGATGTAGTCATTGCGTTTTGTCAGTCATTGGCTCTACTGGAAGTGTTATGTCCATAGCTGTCCATTTATCTCAGCTCTAGAATTTGACCGGCCAGGGCATATGCGTCATAATTGGTTACCCCTATTTGTTGCCACTGGGAAATACATCCCTTTTGGGTGTATATACCTTGCAATATGGCATTGCTCTACTTCTACATATTCTCCATGACGGATAGAAATGATTATTCACTATTCAATTCAATGCACTACTTCTTTACGCCAACCGGACAATCACGACTGTTTCGAAACCTGCAATAAAAGAGATCCCAAACTAGGTCGCCTTGTCAAAGTTGATCGAAAGAATACACAGGCTCAGGTTATGAACTTGAGAATTGACATTTAAATGCTGGTTCATGATTTCCATCACCAGCCTACCCGATTTCATCGACTGATCCTCCAGTTATGGATAAGTTGAAAGAAACGAGGAATCACAACCCAGCATGGATCAAACAAAGGAGGTTCCTTTCTCTAATACTCTTCCTAATAGCTGCTCTTCTCACAATAATCATTATATTTCTATTCTGGGGAAGCCAGGAGAGCCTCGACCGTCCCAGGTTACAGCGCAAATACCACATCCCTGACAGAGTAAGTCTTAGAAACATGAAAAATGTCTGCAGTTTTCCACATTACCAATTTCCAAAACCAGTAGGATTCATGAATGCTTCCAATGCATATTAATATTCGTTCTACTAGACATTTCCCATGAAACAGCGTTCTCCGCAGGTTAAAACAGTTCCAAGATGGCAAGACAGCTATTTCAAGGCCCAGTCACTGGTGAACAATATGACTCTGGTGGAAAAGGTCAATGTTACAACCGGTGTAGGCTGGCAAATGGGACTTTGCGTTGGTAATACGGGTTAGCTTTTTCTATCACCACCAATGCTTAGCATTTAACGTACACAAGCTAACGCTGTTCCCCAGGTCCTGCCACAGAAGTTGGATTTCCTTCGTTATGTTTACAAGATGGTCCGCTAGGGATACGCTTTGCTGACAACATTACCGCGTTTCCTGCCGGTATCACTGTTGGAGCTACCTGGAACAGGGAGCTGATGTATAAAAGAGGCGAAGCACTGGGAAGAGAGGCTCGGAGAAAAGGGGTAAATGTGCTCTTAGGTCCTTCCATGGGCCCTCTGGGCGTTCTTCCAGCGGGAGGACGAAATTGGGAAGGCTTTGGCACCGATCCTGTTCTTCAAGGAATTGCGTCCGCAGAAACCATACGAGGGACGCAAAACGAAGGCGTAATTGCCACCGCAAAGCATTTTGTTCTGAACGAACAAGAACACTTTCGGCAGCCACATGAATGGAATAATTCTGAAGCCATGTCTACCAATATAGATGACCGCACACTTCATGAGGTGTACGTCTGGCCATTTTCCGAAAGCGTCCGTGCCGGTGTTGGTAGTGTAATGTGTGCCTATCAAATGGTGAACAACACATACTCCTGCAACAACAACCGGCTTTTGAACGGAATACTTAAAGATGAGTTGGCATTCCAGGGTTTCGTTCAGTCAGACTGGTATGGTCAACAAGTTGGTGTTGAAAGCGCCCTTGCAGGAATGGACGTGAGCATGCCTGGAGAAATACACTACTCAGACTCGGGAGAATCATTTTGGGGGCCAAATCTGACTACTGCCGTTCTTAATGGATCCATTGAAGTCGGAAAATTGAACTATATGGTAACCAGAATTGTTGCGGCATGGTATCAATTGAAGCAGGATGAGTGGGAAAAACCACCCCCTGACGGCAGAGGGGGCCCCAATTTTTCCTCCTGGACGAAGAATAAAACGGGTCATTTGCATGAAGGGAGCGATGATGACCAAAATGTGACTGTCAATCGCTATGTCCGGGCACCAAATGTGTGGAATAATTCCCACATTGATCTTGCTCGAGAAATTGCAGCTGAAGGCACTGTCCTTTTGAAGAATGAAGATGGCATATTGCCCCTCTCTGCAAAAGGAACCACTTCGGATAGGAAGACGAAAGTAGGCGTCTTTGGGGAAGATGCTGGCCCAGGGGATGGGCCAAACGTTTGCCCCGATAGGTCCTGCAACCAGGGCACTCTTGGATCCGGATGGGGCAGTGGCGCGGTCGACTTCCCATATCTCATCACACCGTGGGACGAGATCAAGAAGACGTATGACAGCAATAATGTGTCTCTAAATGAATACCTTTATAACGGCATCCAAGATAACGATTTGGAGGATAAAGACTTATGCATTGTATTCGCCAATGCGGATTCAGGGGAGGGATTTGCCTCCTGGGAAGGGATATATGGGGATCGCAACGACTTGTCCATTCAAAAGGATGGCAATAATTTAATTAGGCAGGCTTCTGATAAGTGTGGCAAAGGCAAAGGAAGCACCATCGTGGTTCTTCATTCTGTTGGCCCAGTAATGATGGAAGATTGGATTGAAGAGCCTGGAGTTAAAGCTGTTGTGCTTGCAAATCTACCCGGCCAGGAGAGTGGCAGAGCCCTTGGAGACGTCTTATTCGGCAGAGTCGATGCAACTGGGAGACTCCCGTATACCATCGCAAAGGATCCTGAAGATTATGGACCCGAGTCCAAGGTTCTGTATGAGAGCAACGACGTGGTACCCCAGAAAAACTTCACCCAGGGGTTATATTTCGATTACCGGTATTTTGACAAGCAGAACATCACGCCACGGTACGAGTTTGGCTATGGCCTATCATATACCTCCTTTCAATTGTCGGGTATCAACATCAAAGCCTTAAGCCAGAAATCGGCGACAGCAAATTCACGGTCTGAGGTTAACGTGACTTTACCTTCATATAATGAAAGCATCCCAGATCCAAATTCAGCCCTGTTCCCTGAAGGATTCAACGGGCTAGAAAGATATGTCTATCCATACATCTCGTCCGTGGACGATGTTCAGGAAACGGAGCGCCTTCACTTTCTCCGGCGGCGTACTGACGAATACAACTTGACTGCTGGGGGTGGTGAAGGAGGCAATCCATCACTCTTCGAGTCCATGGTCAATGTGAGTCTCACGGTCAATAATACTGGTGAACGAGCTGGTAAGACTGTGGTTCAACTTTACGTCTCTTTCCCGTCCGGTGTTAACGAGACGGTCAAAGAAGAAGGGGAAGATGAGGATGAACGAGTGATATCTATAGACTTCCCTAACCGTGTGTTACGGAACTTCGAAAAGGTCGAGCTACAGCCTGGTCAGTCAAAGGAAGTGACACTGTCTTTGACACGGAAGGACTTGAGCTACTGGAGCATTTACCAGCAGAACTGGATAATTCCTACAGCCGGGAAATTCAAGATATGGGCTGGGCAGAGTTCAAGAGACCTACCTCTGACTGGCGAATTTTGACATACAAGACTAGGGTTTGTGTTCCACAGGCCTTGATAACCCCTGGCCCTCTATTATTGCGAGCGCGCTTAGTATCTTGTGACGTAAAATGTAGTTCTCCAGCTGAGATGTATGTGTGTATGTATGTATCCAAGCCAGTAATATCTGATCCTAGTCACAATAATGCATGTTCTTCCATGTCAAGTCTTCGACCAGCCTATGAGGGCATAGACTTGGATGTTGGACCCCTGCGGCGCAGTCAGAAAGTACTTTAATCTGCACAACAGCTGATTTGGAGGGTATCGTCTGGTTCCAGTCGGGATATCCTCGCGAATGTTGCATGACTGGCTGTGCGAACAACCCGAGTTGGCTGCATTTCCAACCATACGGAGGCCGCGGGACAGTTCGCAGCACACCTGGAAGCACAAGCCGTGCCCTGCATGGGGGAGGCAGAGAAGAGGCCGTGCTTCCTGAAGTGGTTAATGGAAGCCCGCCCACACATACAGGCTACACTGCGTGTGTGTATCCTTGTCCGTACCCGGACACCACCATGTTCTAGGCCAGCTCGTACGAAAGATTCAGCCTCGACATAGGACATGCTAGCATGTATAAAGGGAAGGAAGCTTCCTGGTTGGGGTTTACTCCCTTTCAAACGTATATACCTGCAGGTAGCCTCGTTAGCAACTCGTTTTATATAACCATTTTTTGGCAGTAGAGATTGTTATTATATCCCACGATAATGGCGCCTAGAGTTACACCGGAGTTCGACAAGACCAGCAGGCCTAGCTCTGCATACGAAATCGATAAGGAGGCGATGTTTAACGGGTATAATAGAAAGATCAAGGTATTAACTATAGGGGCGGGCCTGAGCGGTATCATGATGGCCTACAACATCCAGAAGCACTGCCAGAACGTCGAGCATGTTGTATATGATAAGAACCATGATATAGGTGGTACCTGGCTGGAGAATAGATATCCAAACTGTGCGTGCGATGCGCCGAGTCACTCTTATATATTCAACTTTGCTCCTAATGTTGGTATCACCTTGTCCTGTCCACCGTGGGAGGGTGGGTGTATTGATGTTAAGATGGATACTGATATATTTGGTAGCCCGAGTGGAACAACATCTATTCATATGCCACAGACGTGTGGGCGTATCTAGACAGAGTGTGCGAAGTCTTTGATCTTCGCAAGTACATGACTTTCAACACGAGAGTGACAGGCGCCTACTGGGAAGAGGCTTGCGGCCAGTGGAGAGTAGAGCTCAGTCAGACGGCGCCGGACGGATCCCAGATCGTTATCGAAGAGAAGTGCCATGTTCTGTTGAATGCTTCGGGGTTCCTGAATAAGTACAAGTGGCCAGATATTCCTGGGCTTGATGAATTCACGGGAAGGGTAATCATCTCCCTGATGGCTTCTGAAGCCCCCGGTCTACCTGTGTTGATAACTAACGGGTGAGGACAGTTGATTCATACCGCAGCATGGCCGAAAGACTACCAGGAAGAGCAATGGAAAGGGGAGAACGTTGTAGTAATTGGCAGCGGAGCCTCGAGCATCCAGACGGTTCCTGGGATGCAGCCACACGTAAAACATATGGATGTATTCGTGAGGACAGTAAGTCTGCGCTCTGGATGCACACCCCTTTCGGTGGCCTCATATCTTGACCACCCCGTCTATATAGGGTACATGGTTCGCAGCCATTGCGGGAAACCAGGGAGGCAACTCAGCCTATTCGGACGAAGAGAAGGAGAAATTCAGATCCGATCCGCAGGCGCTGGTTGAGCATTGCAAGTCCTGGGAAGACCAGATCAATGCCCTCTGGGGGATGTTTTATAAGGGGAGCCCGGCACAGGCGGCTGTCCGCCAGATGTACGAGCAGCGAATGACCGAATGCATCAAAGACGAGCGTCTCTTAAGGGGTATAATAGCCATCTTTTCGCCTTCATCATGAAAACTAACAAAATAATAGGATTTCTGCCTTCGTTTGGCGTGGGATGCCGCAGAATGACCCCTGCAGATCCGTTTATGGCGGCGATCCAGCAGGACAACGTCGACGTCCACTTCACGGCAGTGACTGAATTCACAGCAGACGGGTTGATCGGCGAAGATGGTACCGAGAGAAGGGCGGATACGATCATATGCGCCACAGGCTTCGACACTTCGTACCGACCCAAGTTCCCGCTTGTTGGCCAGGGGGGCGTCGATCTTCGTGAAAAATGGAAGACTCACCCGGAGTCGTATCTTGGCCTGGCAGTCCCTGGGTGAGTGAGTGACGAAATAACTAACTAAAAATATTCTGGATGCCCTTGAGTCCTACTTAATTCTTGGATATCAAGCAGCTGCTGATCGCTGAGGTGCCTAGGTTCCCTAACATGATCTCTTTCTTTGGCCCGACATGGCCTATCCACAACGTACAAACTACCTTTTTCCAATCCCTCACAACGTCTAAAATGATACGGAGGAGTTTGGCTGACTGGCAGACAGGGATCGGTGGTCGGCCCACTGATGGAGGCGGGCAGCTATGCCGTCAAATTTATCCGCAAGATCCAAAATGAGGATATACACTCGATCAGCCCGCGACAGGACGTCACCGACGCCTTCAACGAGCATGTCCAGGAATGGACCAAGCATACCATCTGGGCAGACCGCTGCCGGAGCTGGTACAAGGACTACAAGACTGGACGTGTGAATGCAATCTGGCCGGGCAGCTCGGAGCATTTCATCGAGCTGATGAAGCAACCCCGGTTCGAAGACTACACAATCACCTATCGGAAGAAGAACATGTGGAGTTTCCTAGGGCTGGGAAATGTTCCTGCGAATATGACAGAGGGAGTTGATCGAAGTCCGTATCTCTCTGTGGATGCGATTGATCCTCGCTGGCTGGCAGCGATCAACAGGGAGCGACAGGACTAACTGCCAGGCAGAGTGGCTGACAGAAGGCAAAAAACACATGCAAGAAATAATATGGTTAACTGCTGCAGGCGAGCTTCACAATCTTGTCAGCTAGTATCAAATTCGGTACTTATGGAGTATTCCGTAGAGAGAGAGAGAGAGGGCATTCATTTGACCACTGTAGGCGCAACAACTGCCTTCACTTGGTTAAGAACTACTGTACCCGCAAGACCAGATATTCAATTAGCCCACCCCCAGATCGAACCCACTCGATGGATGCTACGGGCGTACTTACAGCGGGTCTGGCTTGGACGGCTGCGATAGTTACTTTGTGGCTCTCCGTCGTCCTAATAATATAACTGCTCTACGGAGCATCTTTCATTTACTTCTATCAAAGGAGCATCGATCTGATGGACATGCCTTTCTTTTTGATAGGAAAAATTTTCAGCCAACAGAAGCAATATTTTTAGCAATCGGCAGGTATACCCACGTACTGTAGACTGGCAATGGTACAGGCACGAGGGCGCCCCCGGGTGTGGAGGAGCCATAACTATACTCAACCGTGGGTAACTCTATGGAGAATCGCCCCAGACAGCTGTGAATTTAAGCCCTTCCGCAGCGAGTTATCTGAGTGGTGAGCTGAAGCGCTCAAAGACATGTCTTGGAGTTGCACCTCGTAAACGAAGCCAATTCATCCAAATGTCTGACTCGGGGGCTGAAGGACAACCGTCATATGCCCGGATAGAGCAGTATATCAGGATTTCGAGGGCGAGGGAAATCGCAGCGAGATCCACTCCCATCGTACTAGTTATCAGCCTCTCTTCCCTGCCACTGCGGTATCTCCACCGTGCTAAACTGCTAAGCAGCTCAAGAACGGGTCGGCGATGTTTCAGTTTTCGGTCCTCCATTGCCACGAACAGCGGCAGTCTGCAGATGCGCTCTCTGCCTATTGGGCCCTCCGCAAGTACAGATGGAGATAAGACACTGGCAGGATGGTTGTAAAAAAATGAATGTACGTAGTGGATACGAGGGACATGGGCGCTGCATATGCCTTTATATACGATGAGAGATATATGGATCGACTATATAATCTACCCCCTTGTCTGCGCTCTTGTAGAAAAAAAATCTCTGTCCCCAGAAAACCAGACGCTCGCTACATACTTTCTTCACATACCTTTTGGCCAAAAGAGACAAAAGGAGTTCACAATCCAGACAAGATGAAGGCATCTTTGATCACTGCATTCGTTCTCCCTCTCCTCGCCCTTGCGAGCCCCTATCTCCCAACAGACCCCCCGGCCAACATTGAAGTCACTGCACGACACCCAGGCCGAGAGAATGTCGACAAACTGCCCATGCAGGCTGCCGGCCGGGCCTTCTGGCTAGGTGGCTCTCCAGCAACTTACTGCCCAGAAATCGTCGGTGACAACTGCCCACCAGGAAACGCTACCGTCATCCTTGGATTGAACAGCATGGTAAGCTCTAATCTTTCACGAGCGAAGTTCCAACGCAATTCTCTCAATTGGCCCTACTGACAATTGAATATAGAGCGTGCTTGTCCCCGGTGGCCAGCAGATGTACGTCGAGCCCAGCGGAAAGCTCGGCTTCACCCAGGCACACTCCGCAGCCATTCCACCAGGATCATACGTCGGCGGCTTTGCCTACAAGCCTCTCAACAAGAAATCCGGCAGCTTCTACTTCGGCGGCTGGGGTGCCACTGCGTTGATGGCTTGCCCTGTCCCAGACTCGAAGTACTATCAGGTTTTCGCCAACATCAAGAACGCCATGGTCCCTGGGGGAGACGTCAAGAAGTGTGTCGAGTTCGTTGGAGTTGCAAAGGAGTATAAGGGTACCACTCCCGCTGCCTGGCAGTATACCTAAACGTCCTTTCTAATTCAACCTGGGGGTAATCTGTTATTTGTTGGACTTCTTTGACTCGAACCAAAATTTCTTTTCGGGTATCCATATTTGTTGCTTCTCCTTCTGTGCTGCCAGATGCAGGGTTGTTAGCTTGTACATATGTAATGAGACCACGACGCTTCTTCATCTCTTCATCTCGTCAGGTATCTCCCGATATCTCTCAATCTCTGTCGTCGTCGTCGTTGTCGTCGTTAATAATAATAGCAAATAAAAGAAAAAAAGCCGGAAGTTGTCCGTTTCCCTTTTGAGAAAAAACCGAAAACCGGGGGAAGAATCACGTGTCTGTAAGATGAGTCAGCGAGGCCTGTGCTGAGCCTCGGCTTCTTTTTTTTTGGCTTCTGGAAAAGGCAAAAAGCGACGTCGAGAAAGCGAGAATGAAGAAAAAGACGACGAACGAAGCCGATATTGCAAAGAAACAGCAGATATCAGGCATTAATATGAGCGCTAGACATACATAAGCGGAGAGAAGATGTGTGAACTGCAGAGATCTCGGGCTCATGTCGCTCGATAGGGCGTGCAGATGACGTTGTACAACCCTGATGGATGAGCTTGTTGCGGCTGCGGGAGGGCTCCGAGCAAACCAAGTTGACGATAAATGTCCGCAGGAAATCAGCTCTGTCTACGCGATAATGCCCCCGGATATATGGGGCGAGAACATGACACCTTCTGGGCAGTCGGAAAAATCGGCCGAGATGGTTACTCTAACGGTGGCTTCGATGGTCTAGATGGAATGTGTACTATGTAACTATGCCTCCAATAGCTCCCCCGGATTCCCGTTCTGACATAGTAAATGTAGTAGATAAGATATCTCGTCCGAGTTGTCTAGCATGAGTCTTCTTCTTTGGCCGTATTTCCTGGTCGTTCGGCGTCTGGTGCCGTGAAGGTGAGTCGATGGCTATTACTGTGTCACCATAACACATAGCCAGTGTCGGCTGGGTTCCGAGGGAAACTCAAGTTACTGGCTATGCGGGCAAAAAGTAGTGAGACTAACTGGAGCTGGTTCCCATAACAGAAGCAAGACTCCAGTTTAACATGTGCCGCGGCTTTGGGTGGCCGTTTGATGCTGTCGTGTATATATAAACCCTCCTATAGTCCTTCGGGCATCGCCCTTTTGTCTCCTCCGGACTTTGCTATAACATCAACTTCGATACCGGCTGCTGTGATACAACCATATACCATCTACAAAGTTGACGTCACTCTAGCACCAAAGCAAGATGACCTCGGTGGAAGCTCAGCTCAGGGGTGTTGCCATCCTCGGGCCCCTCAACGACCAGACTCGCAAGATCCTGACCAAGGAGGCTACAGCTTTCCTCGCCCTCCTTCATCGCACATTTAATGGCACCCGCAAGGCCCTGTTGAAGAGACGTATTGACCGCCAGGCCGAAATTGATAGAGGCGCCCTTCTCGATTTCCTGCCTGAGACTAAGCACATCCGCGACAATGATACATGGAAGGCTGCTCCCCCCGCACCGGGACTTGTTGATCGTCGTGTCGAGATTACGGGCCCAACCGACAGGAAGATGGTTGTCAATGCTTTGAATGCCGATGTTTGGACCTACATGGCCGACTTTGAAGGTGAGCGGAGTTCCCCGAAGGCCGTATTGTTTACACAAGCAACTAGTTCTGACAAATATGGATAACTAATGCATAAACGTTACAGACTCATCTGCTCCAACATGGGAGAACATGGTCAATGGTCAGGTGAACCTTTACGATGCCATCCGCCGTCAGGTAGACTTCACCCTCGGCGGCAAGGAGTACAAACTCCGCACCGATAGGAAGCTCCCCACACTCATTGCCCGTGCTAGAGGCTGGCACCTTGATGAGAAGCATTTCACTGTTGATGGAGAACCAATCTCCGGCAGTTTGTTTGACTTTGGTCTGTACTTCTTCCACAATGCCCAGGAGCTTGTTAAGCGAGGCGCTGGCCCATACTTCTACCTGCCCAAGATGGAATCTCACTTGGAAGCCCGTCTGTGGAACGATGTCTTCAACACCGCTCAGGACTACATCGGTATGCCTCGAGGTACTATCCGAGGTACCGTCCTCATTGAAACCATCACTGCTGCCTTTGAGATGGACGAGATCATTTATGAATTGAGAGACCACAGCTCTGGCTTGAACTGTGGACGATGGGATTACATCTTCTCCTTCATTAAGAAGTTCCGTAACAACCCCAACTTTGTCCTTCCCGACCGCGCCTCTGTCACCATGACCGTACCTTTCATGGATGCATACGTGAGGCTGTTGATCAAGACCTGCCACAAGCGAGGTGTTCACGCCATGGTAAGCTTAGGCCTTTCTCACCCATGCATGATTTCTATATACAGTGCTAACATCTCAAAATAGGGTGGTATGGCTGCTCAAATCCCTATCAAGAATGATACCAAGGCAAATGACATTGCCATGGAGAGTGTTCGTGCAGATAAGCTCCGTGAAGTCCGTGCTGGCCACGACGGAACCTGGGTTGCCCACCCAGCTCTTGCATCCATTGCATCCAACGTCTTTAACGAATACATGCCCACCCCTAACCAGCTCTTTGTCCGACGAGAGGATGTTCACGTCACCGCCAATGATCTCTTGAACACTAACGTTCCAGGAAACATCACCGAGTCTGGCATCAGGAAGAACCTGAACATCGGTCTTTCTTACATGGAGGGATGGCTCCGTGGAGTCGGCTGTATCCCAATCAACTTCCTTATGGTTCGTTGAACTCTTCAGTATTGTTAACGCAACCCATTACTAACCCGCTTCACCATAGGAGGACGCTGCTACTGCTGAAGTTAGCCGAAGTCAGCTCTGGCAGTGGGCCAAGCACAATGTTCCCACCGCTGAGGGAAAGAGAGTTGACAAGGCATATGCACTCAAGCTGCTCAAGGAGCAAGCTGATGAACTTTCTGCCAAGGGTCCGAAAGGCAACAAGTACCAGCTCGCTGCCCGCTACTTCTCCGGTCAAGTTACTGGAGAGGACTATGCTGATTTCTTGACCACGTAAGTCGTCAATGTAGACATGTTATTCCATTCAAGCATTACTAACCCTTATCCATAGGCTGTTGTACAATGAGATTTCTGCTCCCGGCCCAGCTGTCAAGCTTTGATTTAATATAAGCGAAACAATATCTTTATTTTCCTTTAGAGACGGTATGGCATACGAAGCTGAAGTTTTCCATAATGTAAATAAACCCTGACATTTTGAACGCGCTGTATGAAATGAGCAATTCTACTACTTTTCTGTTTTAACACGTAAACCTGAAGACCACCTTGGAGATTCTAACATACTAAGTCTAGACATGGAATAGTAACCGTTTTTATATTGATGAATATCATCAGAAGTAATTAACATGGTAAAGGGGTAGATCAAAGCAGCATCAAAGACTAAATGTAAATAAATAGGCAAAGAACCAGCTATTTGGTATCCTTGGACAACTGGCCTTCACTTGAAGGACTTATAACGTCATCTGTAACCGAGCTAGATGTCGGGTTTATATGATATATCCCTTCGGCATCCAATTCCGTCACCCTCCTAGGCGTAGACATATTATAAAATGGAATGCTCGATGTAGCCTCCGTGGGGCCAAGAGTAGAAGGTGCGTAATATCCCATTACTGACCTCGAAGCCGTTTGTCTTGGTTCGCCACTTCCATATGGTACTTGTGCTTTGAATTCCATTCCATTATCCGCACCTTCTTCTGCAGCAGCCGCACAGGCAGCTTTTTCCTTTGCCCTTGATCGAAGTATCAACCATACAACCCCAACGACCACCGCTCCTATAATTGCAAGAGCACCCACCACACCTCCAATGATAGCACTGACTTTTTTTGATGCCCCGTTGCCGTCTTTGTCATTGGAGCCACTTGGGTTGGAAGGTTGGGCGCTACCGGATGATGTTACGGCAGAGTTCGTAGACGACGAGGTGATGGGTTCAGATGTAGACGTGGAAGAGAGTCTCCTTGTAGTTGAACTGTCTTCTCCTGGAGGAGGGTCATAGTTTCGGACTTCATGTCCACCGCATTGCTTGAGTGTATATTCTATCGGACAGCACCCGGTATCGATGCAGTACGTATCTTGGGGACAGTAACCTATGTCCAGGTCAGCTTATCTAGAGCCACGATATCATAAACAGCAAAAAAAATGAATGACACTGGGTATAAAAGAAAGTAAGAAGAAAGGGAAATATGAGATCAAAATCAAAGCAAAGTGACATACTCCCGTCCATACAGCAAACTTCCCCTATATATGGATTGTAGCATCTGGTCTCGTTTACACAGGGGACGTTTCCCACTCCGCAGGCCCTCTCGCAGTTCCTAGGCGGCGGCGTATAGGTACACTCTGTAGGAGGAGCTGACTTGGTCGTTGTCATTGTCACAGCCATTATACGCTGGTAGAGCATCTCGACTTTGATGTCTGCGGCCAGTACGGCCGGCAAAAGGGTGAGAGACGCCAATATCCGCCGCATCTTTCAAGGATCAAGCGGTATGCAAGGTCGATAGAAAGGAAAAAAACAGTAGGTATGAAGAACAGAGGACTAGATGAAGGATGCAGAAATTGGGATTTTGATTTGGTTGTGCTCTGTTTGTGTCCATTGTAGGCTGCATTCAGTGAATGCTGGCATCGCTCGATCAAGGCCGTCTTCGGCAATTTCCAGATACAAAGAAGTCACCATTTGATTCAAAGGAGCATGTCAACTGTGTGCCTCCTCATGTGCCCCTGTAGCAAGATGATCCACATCTTCATTCCATCCCTTGAGCCAGATTCACTAGGTAATCAGTTATCTTAGCCTCCGTCCCAGCATAGGTAGTTGCAGTGGACAGGGCAGCCGAGCCCAATACCAGGAGGACTAGTTACTGGTTCTCGCATGACTCGTCCTCTTTAAGGCTGGCTAAGCTTGCCTACAATACTTTGAACCATTCGGAGCCTTCAATAGGGAAAGGCGTATCTGAAATGTCGCTGAGCCCTTCACAGTCTTTGCACTGTTCTTCTTTATGTAGTACGAATCCTCGACTCCGGACACAACATCCGCAGAATAGCGTGCAATGGGCGTAGTATAGTCTTTTATTAGGGTATTGGCCGCGTGGTCTCATACAGCACTGACATGCCCTTGCACAGCAACCACCTCGCGCCTCGCATCCTTCCACTAGAGATCGCCGAGAAAGGTGTTCGGTCGGGTTATCAAGGAGAGTTTTATAAGCCTGGGAGATAAAATTATCACGTAGCCTTACTCTAGGGCCCTTAGGCTTGCGTTGATGAAGGTCATGCCATTCATTTGTAAGAACCCAGCCCTCGTTAGCCTCATTTAATAACTTGTGTTGCCAGTCTCTAGGCCCCCAGTTATCCAGATTCGAAATGGTATCTAGTTTCCTGCCTTGCGTAATATATTCAACTATTGTTTCTCTGAGGAATATTTGACGTTGCCTCCATTTATGGAGTCTCTGAACCAAATAGAGTCGTTCAACAAGCCAGTCACAGTCTTTCTCATGTTCATCCTTGGGCTGGATAGCTATCTTTTTCAGCCGAATCTCGTTAGAAATCTCATACATGTGCATACGGTCAAATAACTGTTCGAAATTCATGCTGGTACTGAATAAAATAAGTATGATGCAACCGCCAGCAAAGAGTAGAACGTGGTTGCGAGCAAACTGTAACAGGCCTTCAATCTCCATTTTGGGAGTTTATGAAGATGCCCAGGATGCAATTATTGAAGACACTATGTGAAAGATATAGGTAGGGTATGTCAATATTTTCTTCCGAGATATCACGCGGACTAAAAAAGAGGGTAGCGAAGGGGAAGAAGAGGTGTAGTTTGCCCTTTTATAAACGTTGCGTCAGGGTAACTATCGTCATATTCCTTGCATTTGGACGACGCAAAACACTTTAAACAACCACGGGTGGACCAGCTGGCCTATGTCTGGAAAAAACTAAAGCTTCTTCATGGTTCTGACTAACGCAAGAGGACTTCCGTACTCTCTTCGCCCTCTGCTCAGCGGTTAACTTCCTGGGTATCATGATTGGCGTGGACAAAGCGGATCCGGACAACGGGTATATGTTCAAGCGTCAGATAGGGGTGGTAGACGTCGAGTCTCACTGTACTCACTGTACACCTCGCCCATGGTTATTATCCTCGCCATTCATTAGTTATTGGATGTGGCTGGCCGTTGAACAACGCTCTCGCCTTCCCTATTGGATGGAACCAGCTGGAGTTAGTGCTATCACGTGTCTAGACATCACGTGGATGTTTACATAATATCCACTTTCCACCAACGTCCTCAAGTCTTTTTAACAACACATGGAACTTTTCCCTGCTTCGACATGCCAATATCAAGCCTCTATCTACTTCTAACCACAGTCTTAGCTGGACTGTTCGGAGTAAGGACAGCCAAGTACCCTATGTTAGCCTTTGGTCCCGGCCTAGATAATACCTTAATACCTCTGGTAGTCCAAATATACCCCCCCGAGGTTAGAGTAAATATACCCTATTGATTTATATCCATTACTCTCCTTAATATATACCCTCAACTTAGTTGTTATCTACCTATTCCCTTCTTCCCCTACTTGCTGTTAACCCTTAACCTACCTTCCCCCTTAGCAATATGCCAACTATCATCCTCCTGAGCCCTTGGACCTACACTGTTATTGATAGACCAATAATCTCGGGTCTACGGTAAGGATGAAGAAGAGCATGTAAGCTGCTTCCCTCTCTATTTCTCTGGGGGGGGGGGGGGGGGGGGGGGGTAATNNNATTTTTCCTATATATA